TTTGAGTGTGCCAGTAATGGAATATCGAGCTGAAAATGTGGGTCAGGCGGTACCACCAAAGATGTTACGGGATGCGCAGTACCGCTGCCGAGGCCTACTCTTGAGCCTTCGTTGCTGCAGTGGCTTGGGGCAGTTATGCCCGATTACATAGGTGCACCCAAGCAACCGGCTTGGATTTGCTTGGTGGGCTGAAGGAGGGATGAATCAGTGAATGGCCGGTTTTAGTACCGCTTAACTGGCGTAGAGGAGTTAAATGAGAAATCTGGAATGAGCTTCAATGTTGCCTGAGTGATAGTTGGCTGATGTGATGGCATTTGCCGTTTGGTTTGTTAAGTGAGAGGGGATTTTGTGCTTTCTACCTAGTTCTTTAAATTTACGAAAATTGATGTGAGTGGTAGCGTGGGGATCCGCTATGGCAAACTTCTGTTTGAGTTCCTCCTAACTCTCCGTGCTATTTTCAGGTTACTGTTGGTGGGGATGGTGAATTGTGGTTTTTTAATGGGCTAAGGATGTTCCGAAGAACGAAATTATTGTTTGATTTATATGGATTTGATGGAGTCGAGGGAGATGAAGCAAGTGAGCCAGGTATAACTGTTTTTATTGCCTCCACAGTGACTCTCTCTCGTCATCACTAACTGTATACTTCATGCGTTCTGCTCTGAACCTTCTGTTATGCTGGATTTGCTTGTGGCAGGAATTTGGCAGGCTGAGTGATGCCAGATTCGCTGTTACGCACTGGTTTGGTCATATCTTTGTTACAGTAGTAACCCGAAGAGGTTTAGGTGCCCGTTTTTGAGCGGTACAATTCGTGTTTATTGTAGTTTGGCTTTCCTCTTATGAGTTTTTCTACAGGGCTGTAGCAGAGCAGGCCCGATGATCGATGAAGTGGATGAACAAGGTTTTGGATACGAGCAGCCGCCCCGTACATGCGATCTGCTCGACATGGAATGGAGACGGGGCGGCGGACAATTCGGAGTTCGATGAATGCGAGCGGATATGGCCGCATGACAGACATGCGATCTGCTCGACATGAAATGAAGTCGAGCGAAAATTTGTTTATTATTGTTTTATTGTTTAAGAATTATGTGATTGGTTTGGCTGTAAAATTTTTATGTTTCTTTTCCATTGTGTTGTTAGGCTGTATTTGTTGTGTTGCTTAATTTCTTCTGTGCTAATAGTACTGCTTTTATAATTTTGTTTATCTATATTGTTATTTTGAAGGGTTTGTCTTATGATTCTTATGCTGTTTGTAAGTTACTCCCCTTTATGTATGATGTTTTTTGAAATTTTCGACAATTCCTTTTTTTCCCCTGTTTATATGCTTTTTTTGTATGACTTTTTTTTACTAATTGCTTTTTGTCTTTATACTAACTTTTTCTGTAATACAAGATTTGATTTGTTTGCTTGTTCGCGGCATACTCGACGAATACCTGTTCTCGACTTTGCAACGAACGGAGGGTCTTCAGAACATCCTTAATACGGTCCCTAGTCATATGGACCCTTGTACTGGATTTGCTAAGCTTACGTACAGTTGTGTGGTTCTTTTTTTCATTACGCGTAGAGAGGGGACCGGGAGATGGGTTTCAGTGCATTAACACCTACTTGGACGGGGAACATCCCTCTAAGATTTCAGCGTTCTGGCTTCTCAGATCCCCGAGTTATGAACATATCCGAAAAAAACTGGCAGGCCCGTACACGGGTACCACGCGGGTGTTGGCGCCCATTTTGGAGATTGGGGCCGGCACGTGCATGTAGATTAAGTTCCGGAAATTTCAGCCCCGCAGCTTTTATAGGTCCTGAGATGAAAGTGCGTGACAGACGCACACACAGATACACAGAAGCACAGACACACAGACACGCGGACAGCCTCTCGTCAATATGCGTTTTTCACATTGCATTGCTGCAAAGAACGCATAAAAATGTTCAGGTAATTCAAAATGGAAGAGAAATATTCAGGTTTTTGCCAGCAGCTAGGCGTCTCTCTTTAATGGCTGGTAGTGCCGGGGCACAAATTGGTCGTTTGGCATTTTTGAGCTTTCAGGGCTCCGCTTGCTGGTGCAAATTTCCTCTTAGT